TTCAGGTGAGGCAATTAGAAAAGGGGGACATCATTCTAAATCACTGGGAGCTTTTCCCAATTAGCTGGAAAAAATTCTTCAGATAAATCTACCAAGCTGAAGAGAGAAAATTATTTTAAAAGGTTAGCAGAGAAGAATGGCCATCCCTGGAATTTTCTATCAGAAACACAGTTCACATCTTAGATGAGGCTAATAAGGTTTCTGAGCCCCCCTCCTCTTGGGAGATCTGAATGCTTGATTTATGCAAGCTGACGGAGGTCACATCGCTCCCCACTAGGGGGAACGCACCACCCTGGGGTTTAGACTCAGACCCTCACTGTTCTCAGAGCACGGACCACCACGTAACATTCACAAAGTACTTGCAGTAGAATATGCTTGTAAATGAGATGCAGTGATTTCTGCCACCAAAAACTTGAGAAAATAAATGCAGCTATTTTCAATATTTTTGAAATAGTTTAAGATATTTTAAATGTGATGGATTGATTTTTAAGTTTTTTAAGAAACAGCTTGCCTGGTATAACCACATCTCAAAGGTGGTACATTCAATAGAGGAGCTTGGGTTCAGAGGTCTCGAAGGGATCCTGAATGACATTTAGTCCCACTGGCGTAGAGATGAGATAATAGACTCAGAGAAGGGAAATGACATTCCCAAGGACACACATCAGAACTTAGGAAGTCAACTCAAAGCTTTCTCTCCTGCTCTTTCACTACTCAAGCTGCCCTGGATATAACCCCATGTGCACATAGCCAAGCATGAAATTAGCAACACCCTCTGAACCGAGGAGATGATCTGGTGAGGTTCAAAAGTATTTGCCAACTTCCTCTTGACCATGATTTAGCTACTTTTAGATGAAATAATAACTGATATTATGGAGATTTCAAAGCATTCAGTTAACATTTCATACCTAATATAGGTGGAGAAAGGAAGCAGAGAAAGATTAAATGGGTAAGGAATGGGGAAGGAACTATACTACAATAAACAGGTTATTCTAAAAGGCTTCAAGTCCTTGCTGTCTTCCAAAGCTGTGCCCAGATAGAGGCAGAGGCAAAATGATTTTTATTTCACATTTCCAGCCCAACTTCCTTTCCTGCACTTAGTCTATAAAATATATCGTATCGCACCAATGTTCATAGCAGCATTATTCACAACAACCAAAAGGAGAAAACAATCCAAAAGTCCATCAACAGATAAATCGATAAGCAAAATGTCACATATACACACACAATGGAATATTATTCAGCCTTAAAAAGGAATGAAGTACTGATACACGCAACAACATGAACGAATCATGGAAATATTACACTAAATGAAAGAAGTCTGACACAAAAGGACACAAATTGTATAATTCCACTTATATGAAGTATGAAGAACAGGCAACTTCACAGAGAGTATAGTAGAATAGAGGTTATCAGGGCTGAGAGAAGTGGGGAATGGGGAGCTATTGTAAAATGGGTACAGGGTTTCTGGTTGGGATGATGGAAAAGTTGGGAAATGGTAGTGGTGATGGTTATAAAAGACTATAAATATACTTAGTGCTACTGAATTGCACATTCAAAGTCATTTAAATGGTAAATTTAATGTTATTCTACTATTTCATGTATATTCTGCTACAAAAAATTATCATATTGAAATCTGAATCAGATCCCTTTATTTCTCAATTGGAATTCCTAAACTTTATTTTGTTCATTTCTTGCCATTAAAGCCCAGATTTCTTCTCAAGACCTGTTTACTGTCAACAGCATCCTGGTCAATCTATGTATGCTTATACACAAAGACACGCATAGTCACACACAGGCCACTTTGTGTCTTGCAGTGACCCATCCATAAACATGTATCAACCCCAAGACCTTGTCGATAGCTCCAACAGGAAGGCCCATGGCAGGACTAATGCAACCAGCCTTGCTGGAAACCGACACAACAAAACACCCTGACAAACACCCTGTCGCAGTTCAACCCTGAAATTCCTCACCATGGGGAAATATATATATTTAGTATATGCAGATCTTTTCTATAAAGAAAACAGTATGCATATTCCAGAAAGACCACCAGGAACTGCTCACCCAAGTGTGCTCCACCAGACCTGTGAACAAAAAGATTTCAGCCCATACATGGCTTATTTGGTGAAGTCAGCAGTTGCAAGTTACACTGAACAGTGGGCGTCCTTAATGCAAATGCATATAATTAGGAGCTAAATCTTTGTACCTTTACAGGACAAAGGATATAATAAGCAGGATGTACCACTTGTGACTTCTAAGGAAAGGAGAGCTTTTCATTTTTCCTTAAAAGAATCCATTTCTCATGAGGCAAAGAGAATCTGAGAACAGGAGTCTTTTGAAATAGAAGCAGGGAGTTGGGGGGAAAGGATTTGAGTTTTGTGTGTCATAGTCATAATCCATCACCCAGACCTGAGAGCTGCCCATTCTGTGCCATATCATGTCCTTTACTCAACTTTAATTTAAGAATTTTCACAACTTCATCATCTTTGGTGGAAATGTTGCCGGTAGCCTGATAACCAAGTCCTGTAAGCGTTTAAAGATCTCAAGAGTTTGTGAAGAAAAATAATCTCTAGGGTTCCCTCCCATTGCCAACACACATGGACATTTAGCATAAATAAGCTGCCACTTGTAAGAAGTCCACTTGACATCACTCCCTCGTGTATCCTGAAGACACATGTCAAGATCACACTAAGATATTTAGAGGCAAACATCTTTAGAATAATGTTTTGTTCCCAAAGTGCTTAATTAGCAGAAACACTATGCTGGAGAACCGTCCTTGAATATGCAAGCATTTTAACCTCCATGTTAGTGTTTCTGAAGCACACATTTTCCTCCCACTGGATGGCCAGGAAATGATTGGGCACAGAAAACTCACTGTCTTAAGTGTTGAGCCACAAAATGAGTTCCATCTTTCCAAGCAGGTTTCACTGCCTTGCAGGGTGACATCCCCTTTTATGAGGGGGACCATTCTTTGGAGTCCAATGGCCTTTCCCCCATTCATTTTAGGTGACCAATGCTCCTGTGGCCTACTTAGGTCTGAACTCTTTCAACACTTCCCACCAACCTCTTCTGACCCCATGTGCCTTCCTCCCACTCCCAACTTGGGCCAGTCACATTTACAAGACATCAGTTAGTGAATCACAATTCAAATGAACCCATCCATTTGTTCAGCAGAAAGTGGCTTCTGGAATTGCTCCATTTGAAGCCCACAGGCCAGAGTTACATACGGCAGGCTTGCAAACATAAACAGGATATGATTTATTTATGATGACCATGTGTGTTCGATGCCTAGTTCAGTAGGCTGGGGCTTCACTACATGTCATGGTCTGGGATGACCCATGTACTCACTGTGTCCCATTTCATGGACCGTATTTCCATGCTGGGAAAAAGGAGATGGGCGACTGGCTGGGGGGCTGCACATACAGGTGCCACTAACCCTGCCCACCACATAACAATCTGTGACCAAATGCAAAGTGGGCCAAAGGGAACTTGCTGCCAAGGTTTACCATGTACAATGGTTTTCAGTGGAGAGAGTGGAGAAGTAGCTGCTGGAATGACTGACCATGTGGGGTTCATTAAACTGTTGTGCATTTGCCCACCAGGAAGGCCGGGATGCTTGTGAAGGTAGCCCCACTCCTCATTTCAGAGATTTCAACCCCCCACCATTTGGCAATGGTGTTCCAAACGAGAATGGCACATAAGCATCAGAAGGTTCAAACGTGGGCTCCAGCTGAAGTGCAGTAAACTTCTGCCTTCAACAGTCTCCCCCCTTCACCCCCCCAGTTGTATTTATACTTTGAAAGAAGTTAACATGAAGCAGTAGTCACCTGGGCGTGCTCAATTTTTGACAAGCCTTAGTCACTCTGTACCCAGCAGAACAATTCACATTATATTCGAAATCCTGTGAAGATTCTGCCACACATGCTAACACTAAAATGCCAGTAGCTCCACTTACCTTCTTTATTAAGCCTCATAACCTCCCTGCTTTTTCCACCCTCTTTTCCAGCCTCTTCTAAATCTACATCTGCAGATGAAAAAGAAAAGGAAAAAAGAAAATAAGGAAAAAAGGGGGGAAAAAGCCAAAGTCAAGGGGGGAGGGAGAGTGTTTATTTGCAAACAGATCGATATAAATACTGTATATGAAAATCTTTCAAAAATTGACAATGCAACATTTTCTCCCAAGTCCGGGTTTCCATCTACCTGGCCCAGATAGGTACCAAAAAAACTATGCAAGCAGCAACAGAGTAGCCTTTTAACCAGATAACACCGTGGGGCTGCGAAAGCCCACCCCGCGGGCTGCCACGGGGAGCCGGCACAGACAGACAGACAGACAGCCCTGGCAGCCGGGCCTCTCTGTGTGCATTGATGATCTGTCTCTGTGTGTATTTATTTAGAGAGAGAGGGAGAAGCATGGAGGACACCGGGGGCCACTCTCTCTCTCACACACACACTTTTTCCCAGTGGCTCTAGGTGAATGGAAAGGTTACAGGATAATAAAAGGAGGAGGAGGCGGTGGGGTTCTTACTGTCGGAGCAGTGTAATTTGGCGGCGTCGATCCAGGAGGACCAGGGTTTGCCCAGAAACGCCTCCGGACTGGGCACTTTGCGATCCAGTGTCGCCATTGCTCTTCCTTCTTGTTGCTTTTTCCCTGTTCCTTCGGCAGCAGCAGCCGAGAGACACGGGATTCGAGAACGCTCCGACGTCATCTTCGGAACGTTCCGACATTGAGTGCTCTGCGAGGGGGAGGGCGGGAGGCGGGAGGGGAGGAGGGCGGCGGAGGAGGGAGCGAGGAGGCGGCGCGGGGAGGAGGGGCGGCGCGGCTCGGCGCGGCTCGGCGCGGGCGGCCGCCGGGGCAGCAGAGAGGCCCCGCAGCCCGCGCCCCGCGCCCGCCCGCAGCCCGCCCGCCGCCGGCCGGAGGGCGCGCAGAGCGCCGCGTGCCGGGAGCCGGCCGCCGGATGCTGCGGCGCGCGCGAGCACCGGGCGGAGCGGCCGCGCAGGGCCGGGCGGGGGGCGCGGGCAGGTGCGCGGCCCCGGGCCGCAGGAAGGGTGGTCTCGCCCCCAGAGTTGCCGCCGGAGGACAGAAAGTTTTTGCGAGCAGCCCTTGCAGCGCGGCCCCCCTCTCGCCGGGTCCCTGTCGCCCACGGTGAGGCGCCCCTGCGGGGAGCCTGGCGGCTCGGTGGGGAGAAGCCGAGCAGGTTTGCGCCCCCTGCCCCCACCCCGAGCCAGGGCGGAGGAGACCCTGGTGGCCTCGCCTCCCAGCCGTCACCCTCCGCACCCCGTTTTCCCTTTCTCGGTGGACCTGGACCGTGCAGATTCTGCGGATGCCGCTGGGAGCTGACAGCAGTGGGTAAATGTGGATGTGCAAAGCAGGTGAGTTTGGGGCGAGAGGAGCCGCCTTCCCATTTCAGGCCGAGGGGCGTGCAAAACTCAAAACTCAGCGCCCCGGCGCCCCCGCGTTCCCTGCGCGGCGCGTGTCCCGGGCTCCGGGAAGCACTGCGTAGGCTCTGCTGCAGGGTCGCCGGCCGGAGGGCGAGTTCGCGGCTCTGCCAAGCTGGTGCTGGCGGGCCTAGCCCCTCCGCAGGTTCCAGCGCTCCCTACCGAGAGACGAGGTGGCCCGCATTGGCGCAGGCCACCTATGGCCAGGGATCTGGTTCCTGGGAGGATGCGCTTCTGGCGTAACTGCTCCAGCCAGCTCGAAAGGCAGTGCTCGATTTCCTCTGCTTTTGGGACGTTTAGTGCTTTAGTTTAAATCCCCCCACCCCCAAGGGTAGGCAACAAGACCTTAAAACGTCTTCTGTTATTTCTTTTTTTAAAAAATCCTTTTGTTTACGAGGAATTACTAAATTATATGGACACCCCACACAACACAATCGATGTATTTTTCCTCTCGCCCCAGCGCCCGTCTAGTCGCCGCCACTCCTGTTCCCCAGGTGCGCGCTTGCCCCTCAGCTGCGGCGCCCTGATTGGAAGTTGCCCGGTGCCCACCCAGTTCTGCCCTGGCTGTGCCATCGAATGTCCCTGCACTTGGCAGCCTGTGCCAGCGTCAGAGTGGGCGATGAAGGGGGAGCTGCAGATTTGCCTTCAGTTGTGATGTTTGTGTGAATGGGCTTGTTTATGTCAGCCCCAGATAAATCTCGTTTGCCTCTGCTCTATTTGGAAGGGTTCCCACATGGCTCAGTTGCCGCTGGGTGGAGAATTCCCATGTTGAGGATTGGTAGTGTGAACAGACGTTTATTACTCATTGACCTCTTATGATATGCCAGACAGTGCGCTTTGCATTTCCATCCATCCACCCATCTCAAGTCCACCAACACTGCCTGTCATGGAGCGGCTGCCCTACCCAGAGGTGGTCGGAGGAAACCCATCCCAGCCCTCACGGAGATGCGGTCTGGTGGTCTCTGGAAGAAGGAAGGTGTGAAACATCCACTCCGGAAAACAGGGCGCATGCACAGGAACTGGCCTGCGCAGTGAGTGGTGTGGCTCTCAGGGCTGTACCTGTTCATAGCAGGAACGGAGATCTATTAATAGCCATCAGAAAATGTGTGACAGGATGAGATCTGCTGCATCTTGGCAATTGGCAAGGATTTATAATGGGAAGGTGAAGACTGGTCTTTGGGTGTGGGGAGTGAGGATGCCAGCAGTCTTCAAGTGGAGCATAAACACCGGGTGTTTGGGAGCTGAGGACAGTTTACCTGGGATGGTGCGTTGTTACTGGGGGCTGGGTTGATGAGTTTGGAAAGCCAGGCCTGGGTCTGGACAGCACTGAGTGGCAGCCTCAATAGTCTGGATTTTGTTTGACAATGGGGAGCCACTGAAGGGCATTCTGCATCATAAAGATAAGTTGAAAGTGTGACGTAGAAAGATTGGAGTATGGAGACTGGTTTGGAAAGTAGTGGGGCAATATTCCTGGTGTGAAGAGATGAGAGCTTGAGCTTTGGTCCTGCCATCCGTGCAGGTGGCGAAGAGGAGACAGGAGTGAGAGACCCTAGGAAGAAAGCACCCCATCAGAGGGTGTACTGTTTGGCAGGATTTGGGGAGAAAGGGGGCAGGAGGAGGGGAGAGTGCCCACAGGCGTAAATAATTGGATGCTGGAATATTTTCTCTTCCTCTTCTGCTCTCCTGTTTTTCCTCTATTTCTGATCTGTTTGGGTGTTTATTCCTTTATTGTTGTTCATGCAAGGAAGGTGTAGGCAGCTTCCAACATGGTCCACAGTCATCCCCACCTCCTGGTGTTCGTGCTCTTGTGTGATCTCCTCCCCTTTAGTGTGGGCTAGACCTAGTCCCTTGCTTATAACAAATAGAATATAGCAAAAGCAATGGGATGTCACTTCTGAGATTAGCTTGCAAAAAGACTGTGACTTCTGTCTCACTCACTCTCTCTTGCTCTCCCTGGCTCTCTAAGGGAAGTCCACGGCCATGTGAGCTACCCTGTGGAGACTCCCATGTGGCAAGGAACTGAGGGAAGCCTCTGGCTCACAGTTAGTGAGGAACTGAGGTCCTCAGGCCTACAGCCCAGCCAGTGGGAAGTGGGATCCTGCCAATAGCCACCTGAGTGAGCCCACTTACTGGGAGTTAGCCACTTGAGCTTCCAGAATGCAGTCTCCTCTCCTGGGAGCCACTATAAACCCACTAAAAAAAAAAAAAAAATCAAAGATAGCTGAGTGTGGTGTGGCCTGTAGTAGTCCCATCTACTAGGAAGGCTGAAGTGGGGGCTTCCCTTAAGCCTGGGAGTTCGAGGCCAACCTGGACAACATAGTGAGACCACCTCTCTCAAAAAAGCGACTTATTACCAGAACAGAAGTCAGGGTACCTCAGTTACAGAGAAACGAGTCAATAGTTCCATATTGTAACATGAGCTTACTTCCCCAGCTGAGTCTCTCGGGTGGAGGTTATTATACAAGACTCTAAAGATGGTATGATAGCCGAAATATTAATTCCCTCTAGTTGAGACAGTGTTACTTGGCAGCATAATAAAGCATGGGCTGGATTCTAAACTTGATTTAGCATCTCTGCAAAAGAAGACTTTGTAGACATGCCTTGTTTAATTGGTAACAGAATACATATACGTTGTTGCAGTTAGAGTTAGCTAGAGTGTAATGTAGAGTTTCTTCTACTCTAAAGCCTTCCACAGTTTCTCCACTGACTATAGAGATAAGAACACTAACTTTGTGAGACTATAAACCACTTAAGACTTTGTTGGATAACATAGCTGTCAATTAAATTGCATAACTGGGAGCTAGAGAATAACAAAAGCATTGCTCATCAAACTACTAGACTTTTACACTTGACTTTGGGTGGAAATCGAGGCCAGTGGAAGTAGTGTTCAAGTTTACAGGGTGCATCTGTGTTATCATATACGTATCTTTCCTCATATGTCAACTATGTATGGCAAATTTATTATAGATTTGGATTCCTTTAGGCAGTAAATAATTACAAATACTGTTAGAGACAACAAGAATCTTATGCATTCTTAATAAGAATAAAGTGACCTGTAAAACAGTAATTTAAAGCACGTTAGTATAATGGCTACATGATAAAACTATCTAGCAAAGGCATGAAGCCCTCTCTTTCCCTCATGATTAATGTTTAGGAAGATAAAATGGACATAAATATTTTTATTGTTTTATTATCTTTCTCAGAAAAATGACAGAGTGGTTGGTTTAATTAAAAAGGAGACTTCCATAGACCAAATAAAAAAAAATCTGTTCTACAGAGATGACAATGGAAAATACCTATTTAATTTGAATAACACCTGGTTCTGTAGAAATGTGCATCTCATATGCATCCTGCACTCACTTAGTCTGATTCATGTGCTGTTTCACCCCATTATTGAAAAGAAGAGAAGAGGGAATATTAGCTCTCTCATTTGAGGATATTAAACTCCTGCTGGGGTTGAGGCACTGCGTGAGCACCCTACTTCCTACCTAGACTGTTGGGAGTTACCTGGAGGCAGCAAGGAGAAAATGACATGTTCCATTAAAATGAGGCATCCCAGAATTGTTTGATGTTCTTTGCCTTAATTGAATCCATCTATCCCATCTGCCACTCTTCTCTCTAAATTTATTTCCCTAACCTACTCTCTCTGAGAATTGTAATTTTAGGGGAAATTTGTTACATACGTTGTTACCTTTTATAAAAGCTCTCCGCATCTGGAGGGCAGGTGTGCCGTCTACTTTGCCTTGTTAGACAACTTTGCCTGCCTCTTTCCTGCGTGTCACATGCTGATGGATTAAAATCAGGACTGGGATAAAAGACCCCCAGTAGCAACAGAAGTAGGAAAGAAAATAGAAATTCCAGGCGTTTCCTTATTTGGTTTCCATATAGAGCCCTAGCCATGTGTCAGGTCTGGATATGGACTCTATTAGGAAGTATAACTACAAAAACATGAAAGTTGCATTCTGATGGGGGCAGAAAATCTGAAATATGAGTGTGTTATCTTGAGGTAAAGCTGCCTTAAAACTCCCGGCTGTTCATCTCTGACTTTGGTCACTCTGGGCTCCCTGGAACCACTCCGATGCTGTAAGTTGGGGAGACTTCTGTTCCCCAGGACATGGCAGGGCCAGGCCCATTCCTAACCACTGCCTTTTCTCAAAGGTTAGACAGCAGAGGCCATACCTTCTCTTTACCATTGTTGTAGGAATCACTTTTGGTCCTTAACCTAAACACAAATAAATATAACATTATGTACACATATTAATTTGACCGAAGCCCACCCACCATTTAATAAGGTTGGGGAGGCAGTACAGGGTGGAGGCCAGAGCACAGCCTTGACATTGGCAGGTGTGGAATTAGAACTGCCCTTAAGCCATTTGCTAGAGAACCTGCCTTAATCCATCAGAATCTCAGTTTCCTCGTCTCTTAAATGGGCACTAGGCCCTTCTCTTGGGATTGTTGTGAGGATTAAGTGAGATTCTGGGTACTGCGCCCCGGGTGTAGGACTTGGCACACAAGATCGGCAGGACTTGGGCAATTGGCTAAGTGTTCACTGTGATTATTACTTTAGTTGCAATGCGCCGTTTAGACAGCAGCTGCCAGTCAGAAACAGGCAGACACTCTGATGCTAGGAGTGGCTCATACGGTTGCTTCTGACAACCATCCTTCTGCTTAGAAAGGAAACTAAAGTGTCTCTCTCTTTTACATGGAGCTACTGCCCTGCATCAATTGTGCAGAGACCTCTGTCTGAAACTTCTGCCCAATACGCATCTTGACATGTACATCACGGTAGAGTCAATATCCTTTTGTTTAGGAAAGACCCTAAAAGACCATTTTGTTATAGAGAGGAGTCACAAAATCCAGTTTGGTTGCTGGCAAAGCTGCTTGTGCATAATGATGTAAATAATTGTCTGAAAACTAAGCAGAGTGGAATTTCTGCAAATTATTCTTTTCTTTGAAAATTAAATTATTCTTTTCTTTGAAAATTTTATTTTTTTTCTGTAAAAGAAACTCAATAGTGGATTTTTAATTGGCCAATTCATTTCTTTCTATTTTTTTTTTTTTTTTAGTAGAGACGGGGCCTCGCTCTTGCTAAGGCTGGTTTCAAACTCCTGACCTTGAGCGATCCTCTTGCCTCGGCCTCCCAGAGTGCTAGGATTATAGGTGTGAGCCACTGCGCCCAGCTCAAATTTTAAAAATCATGTATAACATAGTAAAACAGTAGACATGAGGGATAAATTCCCATTGCATATCCCCTCCAAAGTAGTCAGTCCCCTACCCTCAGGTCTGAAGGCATTTTTCATGCCATTTTCTATACATCTACCTACATATATCTCTGTCATTACAGGTGTAGATGATATTGCTGCGTGGGTTTTTTTTTTTCTTTTTAATGTGAATAACATCATTTTGTGGACATTTTCCTATAACTTTTGTTTCATATATGCTGTTACATGTCATCACATTACATTTTCATGACATATGGAAATAGTTCTTTCTTTTTGACTGCTGCATGGTATTTTAGAAAATGTTCCAGAATCTATCTATTACCTTATTGATGGACATTTAGGTTTCTGGTTTTTACAAAAAATAGGTGGTCAAAATAATTTATACACACACACACACACACACACACACACACACATACACACACACACACTCTTTCCAGGCTGATGAGGGATATTACTACCCAGAGGTAGAATTGTTGGGTATGTACACTTTTTATTTTAATAGTTCTGCCAGATTGTCTTCTGCAGTAACTTACTAATTCACACTTCCACTAGTAGTATGGAAATGTACCCGTTTCCTCACTCCCTAATTAATGCTCAACATTTTCAAACCTTTTAATTTTTGCCTATATTATGAGTAAAAATACCATATTTAATTTTTATATATTTTTAAATTTTAAATATTTAATTTTTATTTCCCTCATTCCTAGAGTATTTTTGAGCATTTTTTTCTTAAGTTCATTGTATCTGTACTCTGTAAATTGCTATTAGTATCTTCTAATGATTCGTCATTGGTATTTTTAGATCTTCTTATTGATTTGTAGGAATTCTCTGTCCGTTCTAGATTTGGATCTTTTGTCTGTTTGAAAATAATGTAATTTTCCAGCTTGTTGCTTTTCTTCTTTTAACCTTGTTGGTGGCACCTTTCCCACACACATTTCTTTCATTTAGATGCAGTTGACGTTTCAGACTTTTCCTTGAGGCCTTTTGTTTTTTGTGTCTTGCCTGAGAAGACCTGCTCTTCCCCAAGGTCATGAAGTATTTTCTTGTATTTTCTCTTTGTGCTTTTATACATTTTTGTCTTTACATTTAGATCTCAGAATCTTTTGGTTAGTGATGTGAGGTAAAAATAAATTAATTTTTGATCTTTTTCCAAACAGTTACCATTTATCCCCATACCCATATGTTGAATAGTTTATCCTTTCTGTAGAGATCTATCACATACTCACTTCCCAAACACAGGGGTCTATTTCTGGGCTCTCTTTTCTGCTGCATTATTTGAACTGTTTTTTTTTTTTCTGTACCAATTAATTCCTCTTTTTATTAATATAATATGCATTGTGGTTTTTAAAAAATTTCTATTATAGATTTAGTAAATTCTATCTCTAGAAAATATGTTTTATTCCTAAGAAGTGTGTTATACATGTGTTGTTCAGCATTTGCCACAGGACACTTCATGACGGAGACTGGGCTGTGTTAGGAAGATCGCCCGCCGGAATCTGAACCTCGCTTTATGGCCATCGACCTGCCTGATGACAGCCAGCTTGGATCTTAGCGAAGCTTCCCCTCAGGTGATTTCCAAACCAGATACCTCAGAGTTAGGGAAATGGATTATTGAGATGTATTGTTTTCAAAGTATCTAAGACCTACGCTTTTGAGGGGTGGTTGGGAATTTCCTTCAGTGATATGGACACTCCCATCTGTCTGTCATCCTGGAAGGTAGAAAATGGAGCCATGGACAGTGCAGGCTGGGGAGAGGGAGAAAGCAGCCTGAGACAGGGGCTGGGCCCCCAAGCGTCCAGAGAGGAAAGGACTGAAGGTCAACTCAGGTGGTGGGAGAGAGGCAGGCACACCTTGTGGGCTGGGAGCTGGGCCAGGCAGCCCCTGGTAGGAGGCCTATCTGGGACAACCTAGGTGTAGCTCTGGAATCCCTTAAACCCAGTACTCAGTTGTAAGGTTTTCTGTGTTGTCATTTCTTTTGTATCACCCGTGTTTTTGTTAATTGACCTGGCCTTGGATAACTGCTGTGGAGAACTAAGTTATGGGTTTATATGCCCATGGGAGCCATAGCAGGAAGGTTAAAAGTATCCAGCTTGACTTCATGGCAGCCCTGGGTGGTAACAGCACCTTTATTCAATAGAAGGTGGCAGTGCTGGGGCCCCAGGAGGTGGCCAGCTACCAAGAAGTGAGGAGAGGGAGTTGCCTCCGGTCAGCCCTCACAGTCCCTCTCCCCTCCCCCAGCCCTAGCTCCGAATACCCTCCAAAGGAGGAAATCCTGGGAGGGAGAGGCCAGAGTTAGAGTTTGGATTTTATTTATGTGGCAGGAAATAGAAACCTTGAACCTTTAAAGTCACAACACAGTCATAGTAGAACTTAAAGTCCAGGTGTCCTTTGGTTGGTGGCCAGCTAGCTCCTTTCCAAGAATGATGCTAAGGACATAAATGTAAATTTCCATGTAGCCCAGTGTTTTTCAACCTTATGCAATTTTGCCAGCCCCTCCTCTGAGAGGACATTTGCCAAGGTCTGCAGGTATTTGCTGTTGTCCTTCCTGGGGGGGTGAGGGTGCTACTGACATCTAGTGGGTAGAAGCCAGGGATGCCGGTTAACTTCCTGCAGTGAGGTGCACAGGACAGCCCCACCCCCACCCCACGGAAGCAAAGATTTACTTGGGTCAAAATGATGGTGATGGGATTGAGAAACCCTGATCAGGCCAATTAATTTTAGGTTTTCTTTTTCATTTGCAGGTAATGAATGCCTAACCCTCAGCAACTACTTGGCCATTGTGGGCTTCCTTGCTCACACAGACATCTAGCAAGAAATCCTGGTGGGGGCTGTGAAATCCATCATCACCACCAAAAAACCCAAGGTCTTTCCACTTTCAATATATGAAGACCCAAATTATATTATTGGATGGATGGTATTTGTAGACTCAAAGAGAATGTGAGCTCTCTTATAGATATAATTATTATGTGATAATCAAGTAATGTGGTCTTGTCTTTCTTATCATTTGAATCATTTACAGACTGTAGCTTTCCTACTCCAGTGAGAAGGCTGACCAGGGCTAAGACACTGATGCTAGATAGTTTTTGAATATTCTCAATTTATAGATGATAAAATTGATGGTCAGAGGGAAAGTAAAATAAAGCATGGCTCCCTCTCACTGGTTTCTTATATTCCTAAGTTATCAAACACCTGGCCCTCACTGTTGCATAGGTTGTGTCCTGCACAATTATACCACTTCTGAGGGATCACCATTCAAATCACAGACATCATATATTTATTATGACAGATGGCCATAAAATGGCTCATGCTGACAAATTCAGGAATATAACGACTTTTCTAACAGATGGAAGTAAAGTTTCTTGAAGAAAGTGTACCTTTTCCTAATGCTCACTAAGGTGCTGGGTGGACTAGCAGAAGGAATGTTGTTATTGGCGACTCTTTGTATTTGTTACCAATTCAGCTGAGAGTTTTACTTCTTGATGAAATAGGAGTCACCCTGTCTTGCTGCTATGTGTGATTAGATGTCAGTATTTTAGAGTGATACAGATTACAGGTAATGCATTTGAGTTGGCAGATTTTCCAAGATACCTCTTGTGTATGAGAAATACAGTGTCTTGTCACAGAGTAAATAACATGGCCTTGGTATCTAATTTTGGTTGTTCACACTTCAGTTAGGGCTTAAGTCATCCTAAGTTTGGCTTGGAGAAAGAGACATGGACGTGTATATCAGTTTAGTAAATTTGGCATCAAGGAAATACAAAGAATGTTTCAATTACAGATTGACCCATGATTGATTTATTATAGCAATGCGTGTTGCTTAGGTTGTGATCGATCCAAAGTCATGACAGGTGCTGGACTCTTAGGAGGGTGGGGGCAAATGTTGGGAAATTGATCAATGACGAGCTCCGCATTGGCCCTCTACAGGGAGAATCACAAGTGAAATATTGTAGGATGGGAGTGATAGTATTGCACGTGTTAAGGCAGCCTGACCAAACTTCCATCCCTCGTACCTATGCAGCCACCTTTAACATAGGGGATGCTACTGTGCAACACAGCTGCTCTGTTCTAACTTTGTTCTGAATGTTTAGTGTGTATCATTTCATGGTGTTTTAAGGGGGGAAAGGCCTCCCCAGTTGCTTCAGTGGAGAAAGCTTTAATTTTTTCCACTTGTGGAAATACCCTGGTATTTAGGGACTTTGGCTAATTAAATCATTGTTTCTTATAATGCTTAGTAACTACCCCAATTTGAGTTGGAGGTGGTACATAAAGGAAGTGCAAGCCCTCTTTTATAATCAGAATAAGAGAGGTTGACAGACTTACCTTGGCTGGGTGTGTGCCAAGTGCCACGTGGTATAGACTGAGAGCAGTTGCTTCTCCTGAGGGGCCTACAGTTTAGTTTGAGGGAGCTGTGTGTGCAGTCAATAATCGGGCAACAGGATAGCCTGTGAGAAGGTGCTGATCTGAAGTGCGGGTAATAAATGTCACAGGAGGCTGAGCAGGACAGGTTGCTGTGGTGGGCAGGGAAGGCCAGGGACAGGAGAAACTTGAGCCGGGCAATAAAAGGCAGGGAGGATATAAATAGTTGGTGGGCAGAGTGACCCAGCCCTGAGGGATGGGAACAGGGGCCCTCTTAAGTAAGAGCCTGAGGTCACATAGATAATAGTTCCTGATATAAAGCCCTTAGTGGAGATCAGGTAAGTCTCAGGGAGTGTGGAATCAAGAAGAATTTAAAAGAGTTGCACAGTGTTTCCAAGATTAAAATCTGCACTGTGAGATAACGTAGCGAATAATACAGTGTGTTCTCAGTCAAGTGGTATAGTTCTTGGAGAAATACTTTTTATCAAGAACAAATCTCCAAAATTAGGGCTCTGATGATCCAAATGAGCTAATTAGGTGAGAAAGATGAACTTTTCAAGATTCTTTAACCATCTGGTAGGCATGTTTAGAAACTACACCCAATCGTACTGATAAAAAAGTGTCTCTATGTTTGTGGTCTGCCCTCTAACACTCCGGCACTGGCTCATTTTCAGAGACGGGGTCAGCAAAACCTGCATTTTAAGTAGGCTGACCAGACCGCTGAGCTTGCCTAGGGAGTCCTAGAGTATGCTGATCGTCCCACTAAAATTATTAATAGATTCCTCTTTCAGACTCAAAAGTGTCCTGGTTTAGATGATAAATTATATGACTACCCTAGTTCTAAGTGAGGCACTTTGGACTTTTTTGTTTACTCTGTGAATCCTCAGTGGCCGAAAGGCATGCTCCTGGCTTAGGGCTGTTTGCCTATGTGTGCATCCCGTCTTTTTGAAATGGCCGTAATTTTTTCCTTGCATAGAAAGCAACTGTTGCAAAATATTCAGAAGAAAATAAAAGGTATAAATAAAATCATTATCATAAACCTAGAAATAAGGGTTAATATTTTAATATATATGCATGTATATATCTATGTTTCTCTATATATTATTTTCCAATGATATATTTATATACTTTTAGGTTCCCACTCTCCAAACCAAGCCATTTTATATATATAATAAATATATATTTATATATTATACATCTAGAACTATATAACATAGTCGATATAGATCAATATAATCACTTTTTAGTAATCACTTTTAAAGATTGTATTCTAGTGAATGGTTGTTCTTAAAGTATAATATATATTTAATTCTCAATTTGGGACATTTAGGTTGTTTCAATTTTTTAAATATATTATTGACAGTGCTGTAATGGATATGTTGTGTAGCTAAACCTTTTTGCACATCCATGATTATTTCTTTAGTATGCTTTTCTATAAATGAAATTACCAAGTCAAAGGGGATATGCATTTAAAATTTTGAAATCGACAAACTTCGCCAAAGTGTAGGAGAATTCCCACGTCTTCATAGCCTCAATGTGTGCTATATTCATCGTTCTTTTTCATTTCATTCTGAGGACAGAATTTCAGTTGTGTCTCTGATTATTGATGATTTATATTTCTTTTTTGTAAATTGCCCATTTTTCTATTAGGGTGTTCAACTTTCACTTATTGAATTGTAAAAGCTCTTTATATATTAAATAAAATAAACTTTATTTATGATTGATTTATATGTGGATTCACAAGTTTTTAATTTTTTTGCAGTTATATCTGTCAGTCTTTTCCCTCATAGAGTTACATACTTTTTTAAAGGATCAGATTTACAAATAAAATTAACCTGTGAAATGCTCAGAATATTATCTGATGCTCTCAAACATCTTGAGCTCCTTGTTTCAAACTTTATAGTATGGGCATTGTAGATAGAAGAGGTATAATTTTGTTGCCATTTCTGTTGTTTAGAAAATCTCTTAGAAGGAATTTAGTCAGTTTACAAATTCACAGAGAAGTCACTGCAAGTAAGAACTAGTGATGTGCATTCTTTTCCTTGACCACAAAACATATGTGCCTCCATTCTTGTTGAAGGCTATATTGGGAGTTAGAAGGGATTAGCTTGTTTGGAATTTTGCTGAGTGTATCATATTGTCCCACTGATGTACTTTATAATAGCACTGATGTGTTCTCAGGAAAACTGTGGCACCAACCCAAGATTCTAATCCATAGTCAAGAAAATGCCACAGCCGGTTGTAGCTACCCAAAGCAAGCAACTTTCCCTGGAATGGTGTCCCTGGGCTTCATGGCAGAGTTACTACACCATGGTAAGGAGGGCATGCCAGGCAAATGCACGTTCAGTTCTAGCTGGGACCATTGCTGGGGAGCTGGCATCTGGGCTCCTGCGTTGCTGTGCTGGGTTGAACCACATGGGAGCCTCAGACACTCCCTCTTTGTCGTTGTTAGATCTGAGCCTCCTACTTTCTCCTGGGCCCTCTCAGTGCTTCCACTAGGAGGTCCCATTCCCCCACCTACAGACCTTATGCTAGTCCGCTTGGTTGTCCTCAGCCCCACCCACTTCCATCAGAGAACCTTTTCTTGCAGGGCAAGGGAGGGGAGGTCTTGAGCACCATCTGAAGCCGAGTGTAAGGTTGACGACCACCACTGCCATGATGCTGAGACAGGGCAGCCTCCCTCTGCTCTTGGCTTTCAAAGCCTCTTCCCGTTCTCAGCAAAGGGACTGTGGGGTCCCACCCAGGTGCAGTCCCAGGGTGCCAAACCCCACGAACTGATGCCTTCCCAAGAGAACTCCATCATGGGTGGGGGTCTGGGGAGGGGGCCCAATATTCCATATCAGTAGGTCTTTAGTCACTGATTACTCCCTGGTTGACGAGGAATTATTAAAGAGCAATAAATTTAATAACTAGAATAACCTACTCCAACAGCAGGGAACCAGGTTTATGATACGACTCTGGGGGCCAGGCTAGGGGTTAGACAATAGTTTTTGCTATGAAATGACCCTGTTGTGGGTTTGAGTGGCCCCTCTCAGATGCTATACTTGTGTATGAAGTGCATCAGCAGTCCCCTCTGGGGAAGATAAACTAATTTCCTTCCTATTCGCTGCCATTTGGTCTCCCTCTCCCCATCCTCCTATTCAGTTATCACAATAGCCAAAGAACTCATTTGACTACAATATGATCCTCCTCAGAGTGCTGGGGGAGAGAGAAATCAAATACTAGCAAAGCCCAAACCCTCTTTTGAGCAAGGCTCACTTGCAAATCACATCAGTCTTGTCACCTGGTCACTAATCCTCCACCCTTCCCATGGGTATTGGCCGCATGTCAGAAGGCCTCCCCTTAGGAGGAGCTTCCCCATTCCCCAAACCCCTCTGGCCTCTCCAGGGTCTGTGACTGGGGAGGCCAGTTTTACTAAAGGGATTATAGGCCCATTCTTTTCTCTCTTTGAGGACTGGGTTGGAAAATGGAACAACATCTTCTATTCATTCAAGAAGCATTTACCAACCTCAGGTGGAAAAGTGAAATTCTGGACACATTATATGTCTCAATTTTGCAAAAGCATTTCGCAAAGTCGCTAATGATCATCTGTTGGAGGCTGAGTGGTGTCCCCCAAAGATATTCAGGCCGTGATCCCTGAAATCTATGAATGTTACCTTATATGGTAAAGGCTTTGCAGAGGAGATTAAGTTAAGAACCTTGAGTTGGAGGGATTATCCTGGATTATCCAGTCCGGTTCCTAAATGCCATCACAGGTATCCTTATGTAAGAAGGCAGCAGAGAGAGATTTTATGATGCACACAGAGGAGAAGGCAATGTAAACATGAGGCAGAGGAAGATGCAGAGATGCTGGCCTTGGAGACTGGAGTGATGCAGCCGTAAGCCGAGGCATGCCGGCAGCCAGCAGAAGCTGGGAGAGGCAGGGAACAGATTCTCCCCTAGAGCTTCTGGAGGGATCCTGGCCTTTGGGGCACCTTGATTTCAGCCCAGTGAAACTTCTCCAGAACTGTGAGAGAATTATTTGTGTTGTTTTAAGCCACCAAACTGGAAATTTGTTACAGTAGTCTCAGGATCATCTTTGCAGATAAAACAGAGAGAGGGGGCCAGAAGACACTGTGGGTAGGTGGAGTCTCTGCTATCTGACCAGCTTGATCTATTTATTCAGTCACTTGAAAAATATTTATGGAGTGACTATGGTGTTCCGGGCACAGGAGCAGTGACTAAGGCAACATCTCCACTGACACTGAGGTGGGGGAAGGAGCAGGTGATAAACAGGTAAGTGAAAAATGTAAACAAGGTGACTTTAGTTACTGATAAATACTTTAAAGAAAACAAAACAGGGAAATGTGGAGTTGGGGGGAGATCATTTTAGACTGGGTAGTAGGAAGCCCTTTCTGATGAGAAAGTCTTAGCACTGAGTCCTGAATATCAAGGAGTGGCTGGGCGCGGTGGCTCACTCTGTAACCCGAGCACTCTGGGAGGCCAAGGCAGGTGGATTGTTTGAGCTCAGGAGTTCAAGACCAGCCTGAGCAAGAGCGAGACCCTGTCCCTACTCAAAATAGAAAGAAATTAGCTGGACAACTAAATATATATAGAAAAAATTAGCCAGGCATGGTGGCACATGTGTATAGTCCCAGCTACTCGGGAGGCTGAGGCAGAAGGATCACTTGTGTCCAGGAGTTTGAGGTTGCTGTGAGCTAGGCTGATGCCACAGCACTCTAGCCTGGGCGACAGAGTGAGACTGTGTCTAAAAAAAAAAAAAAAAAACAGAAGGAGTTACCTTACCATCTGGAGAAGGAGCTTTCCAAGTGGAGGGAGCTGCAAGTGCAAAGGCCCTGAGGTCAGAATGAGCCTGCCTAATGTGCTCCAGAAGCAAACAGAAGGACCAGATACCTCTAAGCCTATATGGACAGCACTCTCTCATGGAGGGCTGCAGGATTCTGTCCTAGGCCCTCTCCTGTGCCATTTTCTTTTATGGCTAAACTGGAAGTAACTGTAGTAAGTCACACATATCAAGTGTGTGGGTAACAGAAAGCTGATAGGACCTAGTATTTAGTTAGAGTCAGGGATTGGGTTTTAAAATACCTTTATAGGTAGGAACAAAACCCCAAAGATGAAAGAGGCACAAAATGTGAAGCCCTGACTGGGGACTTAAAAAAATTATTTGCCTAAGTCAGGAAAGGGAACTGAACTTGAGCGCAGCACTTACGTGAAGGTCTGGAAGCTCAACATCGGCACATAGCATGATGTGACTGCCGTGACAAAGTGAAGCGCTTTTACAATTTCTTAAAAGTTGCAGGTACAACTCAAGGGAGGAGGTAAGCAGGGGTCTGTTTCTGGAGTACTGAGTGGGCGCCACACTTCACTATAGAAACAGTTCATTCATTCATTCATTCATTCACTTAATAAATATTTAATGAGCACCTGGCACTTACTAGGCTTTGGGGAAATAGCAGTGAATAGGATAGAAATATTTGCTGAACTCATAGAGCTTACATTCTAGAGAGAAAACAGACATAGCAAACTTAATTGTGCAATTATTATCTTTGCTGTATTAGATTTTTTCAGCTTATAAAATTATTTTACAGTAATAAAATAGCAAAATCAAACATTACCAAAATATATAACCTAGGAAAGAAAAATGCCCCTTCTGCTCATTCCTGCTTCCCAGACATAACCACTGCCAGCAGGTTGTGCATGTTTCTCGAACTTTTTTTTAAGACAATGTCTCACCTTGTTGCCCCCTACTTGAGTATAGTGGTGTCATCATAGCTCCCACTCCTGGGCTCAAGCCATCCTCTTGCCTCAGCCTCCCTGGTAGCTGGGACTACAGGCATGCGCCACTGTGCCTGGATAGTTTTTCTATTTTTAGTAGAGATGGCATCTCATTCTCACTCAAGCTGGTCTTAAATTCCTGAGCTCAAGCAATCCTCCCACCTCGGAATCCCAGAGTGCTAGGATTACAGGCATGAGCCACCTTGCCCGGCCTATTTCTCCAACTTTTAAGAATGTATGTGTAATATATTTTTAAAGCATAAAAATGGAATCATACTTTTCTGAATTTTTTTTAGCTTAATATATCTGGGATATCCTCTCACATAAACACAAAGAAATCCACCTCATTCTTTTTAATGGCTGAATAATATTCCATGCTATGAATGTACCACAGTTTTTTTTCATTAGAATCTTAATGATATGTGTATTGTTTCCACTTTCACTATTATAAATAATGTTGCAAAGAAAATTGTTCTGTATATTTTTTTGTATAGCTTGTGGGCATATTTCTAAAGGACAAATTGATAGAAGTGAAAATGCTGTATCAAAGTATGAAAATAATCGATGCCACCTTCAGGCTGTACCTGAGCGAGAGTGCAAGTGTGAGTGCATGTTTCCTTGCAGCCTCAACATTCCAGGCAGTGAGTGGCAAGTGCAAAGGCCCGGTAGGGAGAGGGGGCCTGGAGTATCAGCAGGACTGAACAGATCCCCAGGGGCAGAGACAGAGAGCCAGGAGGGGAGTGAAGATGGAGGCAGGGGTCAAGCCTCATGGGGCCTTATAGCTCCTCTTAAGCATCTAGGCCTTTCTTTCAAGAGAAAGGAGAAGCCCACTGAAATTTCAAACAATCTGACATGATCAGATTGGTATTTTGAACAGACCCCTCTGGCCACTGTGTGGAGAATG